TTTTTTTTGCTTGAAATCGAAATGTATCGTGTCGGTATTCACACTCTACTGTTCCTACTTCTCACTTCGTTGATGTTTTATCGTAGTATGCGATGCTCGATTCATGGACGACACTAATCCGAAATCGAAAAAAGTTTTTGACCTATGTCTTTCACTATGTTTAAAAGAATGTTATTATTAATATTATAAGATACACTATTATTCATAATACAACGTATTATTCATAACCGCAATGATTATGACATGCTTGCTTTCATGCAACTAATATAGAGGAAAAGGACTGTATAGAATTTTTATGTGATTCTTCATTATTTTTTTGAAAATTGTGAGAGACATTGTAAGAGACAAAGTTACATATTAAAATTTAATATTTTTTAATTATTTTGAGAAAAAACTGATTCTTAATTTATAAATAGTCTTAAACATAAAAAATTATCTAGAATTTTTAGATAAATTGTCAGATAAATTTATCTATATTATCTAGATTAATTTAAATGTAATCATCTTTATCTTATCTAAGATAAATTTTCAAATTTTCATCTTATCTTTATCTAGCTAATTTTAAAATCATCTATGCACAACACTGCTGATGGCTCGGGATAAGAGACTTGTAGCGTCTCACAGTTTTTGAACATGGCCGGAGACGCTACCGCTTCTCCTGATTCTAATATTAAAACCGCGAGCGCGACGCGATTACGCGATCACGCCCTCGACCGATTAGCGGAACGCTGACGAGAAGCGCCGAATATGAAGGTCAGAGACCTCAATAATTCAAATAAATATGAGAAGACCGATGCAGAATGGAGTCAGTAATTTTATCAAAGTACAGCGCGTCACTCTGCTCGAACACGAATTAACAGTTAGATCGCGACACGCGTAGTGTAAGTGATACATGTGAAATAATTACTTTGTGAATTATTTTGAATATATAATAAAGTTTATTCCATTGTTATTAAAAGTTACATAAGAGAAGTGATTAATAATTATTTGCTGCTCCCGAATCCTTGGTGGATCCCGTACTCTGTGTCGCGAAAAGCGGCACAACAATTCGAAGCTGGAACTTTTGAAAATTCTCTACTTTTAGGTGATGGCGGCTATCCTAATCGGCCCTATCTCATCATGACTCCTTTACAAAATCCACGAACTCGGGCGGAACAACTGTATAATGAGTCGCATATACGAACACGTAATACTATCGAGCGTGTTTTTGGAATTGGGAAAAGAAGATTTCCTATATTAGTACTTGGATCTCGATTTCAAAAAGTCGACAAAGTGTTATCCGTCATTATTGCAACGGCTGTGTTGCATAATATTTCTCGGCGTGCTAGAGAACCGTTACCACCGGATAATCCTGAAATACATTTGCCTGCTCCGTGGGAAGAGATTTTAGGAAATGGAAATATACCTTGTTTAAATGACGTGCAAGGTAATAATGCTGTGCAACATGTATTAATCAACGATTATTTCCAAAGGTAAGAGAAAAAGTTTTGACAGATGGCAATCCTGATCTAGTTATTTTGTATTCTCTGGTCGCCGCAACATATATTACCAGCATAAGATTGGCAACTCAACATATACACATACACTCCAATATAAATACACTACACGTTCAATATCATATCGTCGACCTGTATCATTATTACTCAATTAATAAATATATATTGATATCAAAGTGATAACTTTACATGGTACCGAAACCCGAGTAACAGTAAGAAAGCGGACAGAATAAAAACGCTTAATCAAGATGCTCGGAGGAAGTGCAAATACGCAGGAACACGACGGAATGGTCGGACTCAAACCTCCAAAAGCCTTCCACATAAACAAGAGGAACAGAACCTAGCAAATGAGTGGAAAAAATGGATACAAACTTACGAATGGTATGAACTTGCAACAGGTATAGCGAAAAAAATCACCGGAAATACAAGTAGCCACGTTCATGTCGATAGTAGGGCCGGACGCGATAGAGATCTTCAATACTTTTGACCTAAGCAGCATGGAAGCAAAAAAATTAGCAGTCATTAAAGAAAAGTTTCAAAACCATTTCGTTCCAAAAATTAACATAACGTTCGAAAGATATATATTCAACAAATCTGTTCAAAAGGCAGAGGAAACATTCGATGACTACCTGACTGCATTAAGGTTAAAAATAAAAAAATTGCAATTTCGGTGAATTAGAAGACAGCCTGATTTACGACCGTATAGTGGTAGGAACTAATAACGACTGCGTCAGAGAACGTCTACTAGCAGAAGAAAGTCTCAACTTAGAAAAGGCAATCAAAATTTGTCGAGCAGCAGAACAAGCAAGAAAACAACTAGCATCAATACAAGCATCGCAAGAAGCAGTGTCGATTAATGCAGTAAAGTCACAGAAAAAATACAAAGCAGGAAACGTGAAGTTTGCGAAGACGGATAACGGAGAATTTAACTGCAAACGATGCGGCACGAAGCACAGAAAGAAAGCATGTCCAGCGTTTAATAAACAATGTAGCAAATGCAATTTTAAGGGACATTATGCTACACAATGTAAAACAAAGCAAATTAACGCAGTAGGACAGAACGAAGAAGAAGAGCTATTTGTAGCAACGATCGAAAAGAGCGTGATCGGACAAGACGATTGGAAACAAGCATTACTACTCTCAAACAACATAAAAGTTAACTTCAAACTGGACACGGGTGCTCAATGCAATGTTATAACAAACAAAATTGCAGAGAAAGCTAACCTTAAAATTAAACAGTCCACAACGAAGCTATTAAAGTCATTCACAAATCACACAGTCAAAGTGATTGGAGAAGCAGTAACCAAGGTAAGATACAAAAAAAATAATGTGCTCATCAAATTTTTAATTGTAGATGAAGGATTACAACCAATCTTGGGCAAGAATACATGCGTAAAGCTGGGACTGATAAAACGCTTAGATTCAATCAAAGAAGAACAAGGTCAAATATTCGAAGGATTAGGTTGTTTAAAAAACTTCAAATATGACATTGACCTAATTGACAATCCAAAACTAACCATAAGCCCTCCAAGAAAGATTCCACATGCTATAAAAGAAGAGGTTAAAAAGGAACTAGATAACATGGTAAAACTACACATAATTGAACCAATTACTGAACCAACCGAATCGGTTTCGCCAATGGTAGTAGTGAAACAAAAAAATAAAATACGAATTTGCATGGATCCATCAGTCTTAAATAAAAATATATAAAGAAGGCACTATCCACTAAAAAGCTTAGAAGAAATCGCAACAAGCCTACATGGTGCCAAATGGTTTTCATTAATGGATTGTAAAAAAGAATTTTGGCAAATTCCAGTAACATCACGTACAGCCAAATTTCTAACCTTTGCCACACCATGGAGTCGTTATAGCTGCAAGAGGATGCCGTTCGGATTAGCTTCAGCTCCAGAGGTATTCCAACAAGTAATGTCAAATCTGCTAGAAAATATAGAGGGAGTTGAATGTTCCATGGACGATATCTTACCATATGCCCCCACTCAAACAGACCTACAGGAAATTACTAAGAAAGTAATTCATAGACTAGAGAAATCAGGTCTAAAACTAAACAAACAGAAATGCGTATTTCAACAGCCAAAAGTTAAATTCTTAGGTCACTTAGTAACTGCAGAAGGATTAAAAGCAGATCCAGATAAATTACAAGATATACAGTTATTAAAGAAACCAACAAACGTGAAACAACCTAGTGGTGGCAGACACACTGAGCAGAGATTGCGAGGTTAAAGAGGAACCAGAAGAGGATCCAGACAAGATACCCATGGTTCACACAGTAATGTCATTCTCCTCAGAAATCAAACAACAAATTAAAGACAATATTAATCAAGATAAGGAACTAAAATCCTTGAGGATGACTATAATCAGAGAATGGCCGACACAACGTACAGAGACACAAACATTTTTGCATAAATACTGGACTTACAGAGACCAACTATCAGTCATAGACGACTTCATATTCAAGAATGATAGATTATTAGTACCTCAACAGTTTAGAAAGAAAGTGATTAAACAGAGTCACTTAGGACATAAAGGACTTCAAGGAACATTAAGGATGGCTCGCGATTCCGTATTCTGGTCAGGAATGACCAAGGATATCACAGAATGCGTACAACAGTGCCAAGCTTGTCAAAAAATTCAAAATGACAACATGCAAGAACCCATCCATCTTCAAGAATCACCGAATAGACCATGGTCCCAAGTAGCGTCTGACATATTCCACGTAAAAGGACAAGACTACTTAGTCATAGCAGACGCGTATTCAGGATTTTTTGACTTTGTCAAATTATCAAATCTACACAGTACAACAATTATTAAAGCCTGCAAAATCTGGTTCTCCACTCATGGAATTCCAGATATTTTGTTAACAGACAACGGACGACAATTTACCTCTGAAGAATTCCGCACATTCACGAAACAATGGCAGTTCCAACAAAGGCTCTCAAGTCCAAATTTTCCACGCTCCAACGGATTAGCCGAACGCTACGTGCAGGAAGCAAAAAAGCTACTCAAGAAATGTATGGAAGAAGGTTCAGACATCCAGCTAGCACTACTACATCACAGGAACACACCTAGAGACAATTTAGGATCACCAGTTCAAAGATTAATGAGTCGTCGAACGAAAACACTATTACCAGTTAACCAAAAATTACTTCATCCAAAAATAATACCCAATGTTCAACAAAAACTAAAAATAATTCGCAAGGAAGAAAAAGAGTACGCGGACGCGAACAAACGCAAGATACCTGAATTCAAACGAGGAGAACGAATACTATTCCGTAATGAGAAGCAATGTTGGATACCAGCTACAATAGTTAAGAAAACACCAAAACCACGCTCATACATCATCAAAACAACAGACGGTAGACAATTAAGGAGAAACAGTTGGTTTTTAAAACACTTAAAGAAGACTACACCGAACCAAGTTCGGAGTGCACCTAGCAGCACAGAAGAGGGAGAAAAACAAATACAGATTACTCCACATCAAAAAGAGCAAGAATAGAATAGCCCGGATAGGCATCCACGGGAGAATGAGAAGAATTCATCAACGCCAGAACAAACAGAGGATCTCCAAGCACCACCAGTACTGAAGTCGCGTTATGGAAGGACAATACGTCCTAGAAAACTGTTTGAATGTTAATCACTCAGCTATAAAAGAAAGAGTGCACCTAGCAGCACAGAAGAGGGAGAAAAACAAATACAGATTATTCCACATCAAAAAGAGCAAGAATAGAATAGCCCGGATAGGCATCCACGGGAGAATGAGAAGAATTCATCAACGCCAGAACAAACAGAGGATCTCCAAGCACCACCAGTACTGAAGTCGCGTTATGGAAGGACAATACGTCCTAGAAAACTGTTTGAATGTTAATCACTCAGCTATAAAAGAAAGAGGATGACAGATGGCAATCCTGATCTAGTTATTTTGTATTCTCTGGTCGCCGCAACATATTTACCAGCATAAGATTGGCAATTCAACATATATCATACACATACACTCCGATATAAACACACTACACGTTCAATATCATATCGTCGACCTGTATCATTATTACTCAATTAATAAATATATATTAATATCAAAGTGATAACTTTACAAGTTTGTCGGAAATTATATATTTTCAAAATTTCTTAATCAATTTATTTCCTAAAAACTAATAAGTATTACTTAATATACATTTTTCAGTCTGTTGTAAAACAATCAGTTTTGATGAATGAATGAATGTAACCTTTTGGCGAGATTATCTTAGAGATAATGGTTTTGTTGAATGTTACAATGTATCCACTGATGTTGGATATAAGAAACATTACGTATTGTGCAACCATAAATGATGGATGTCGTTTAGATTAGGAAAAAGTGTATAAATAATTTGTATTATCATGTTGTCAAATTTATTTAAAAAATATATATTTTGTATTATCATACATTGCCACATTTATTTAAAAAATATATATTTTGTATTGTCACACATTGTCACATTTATTTTAAAAATATATATTTAGTATTTAAATAGGAGTATTCATTAGACACCACACTAACAGCACTTAATCAATGGAAAAACTATGCAGAGTGATTATAATTAATATATTACTATTAACATAATTAATCGGAAGTCTCCCATTTGTACTTTGGTATTTGAAAATAACTTATACGTCTTTTTTGACACTTATAATAAGAAGTAACTAAAAGTTATAAAAAGAAGTAAATAAAAATGGAATAATTCTAACATTTGTTTTTCCAAATATTAAAAAATATATAAGTATACGTTAACAAAATATAATAATATATGTATACTGTGACGTGACATTTTGTCAGTCAACCAGAAAAACAGCATAACGCGAGATCCTGGGTCCTTCAGGGTCAACGGGCGAGCGCATAAGCGAATGTGCGACATTATTATTTAATTTTATTTCTTTTTTGCGATTATTGTATTATTTAATTGATATTTTCTTTGTGCGATTGTTGTATTATTTTCTTTTTTTTTTTCTTCTCTGTGTCGCTATTTAGTTAAGTTTTAGCTAACGTTAAGACGATCCTGAGCTCGGATTTCATTATTAAGTACGATCAAAGCCGGTGGCTATTTTGTCTCTCTGTGTTTGACCGCCTCACCTATTGCGAGAAGAAAGAAGACGTCGCCTGCTGCGAGGGAGACATTGCTGTCAGAGGAATTTGACTGGAATCACGGAAAGAACGGTACACGCAGGTCGTATTATTTCATATTTGTTACTGTAATGTCGCCATTCTTCTGTGAATTATCGCACGATTATTGCAGACGCCTCGGAGAGAGACGTCAGCGGGGAACGGATTAACAGGCAGGACCTCCGCCGAAGCGCCGTATCCCATAAAGATCACTGGAAGATCCTTGAGCGACCAGAAAGCATTTTCCGCCTTATTTGGAAAAGCGCGCCATAGCGCAAAAGGATCCGCGACACGCAAGGACCCGCGGGATTCGTCGCGGGGTCACGCGGTCGCGGCGAGCCAATTAGAGCAAGCAGAGGCCGATAAGAGAGGGCCTGACTATCTGCGTGAATCCGCGGAAACTTCCGATCGGCACTTGTGCAGTGACCGACCCTCTGGAAGGACGCAGGATCTCGCCGAGATATTAAAGTTGGAAGGATCGAGAACCTTCTTTGGGGACGAGCATGGCTGTCGGCTCTCGCGAATCTCGGAAACCGCTGAGGAGGAAAATCTTGGTGAGGCGAGCGTTATTAGTTGTATTGTAAAGCCACCGATCGCGTAATATTTTGTGAGCGTATCGAGCGAATCGCATGTGTGAGTTCCACGGGTTTGATTCAGCCGATGTCGTACCGGCCAAAACTAACGCCATTGCTATTATCGATAAACGCAGGCCGTTCGCTCGAATTAAGGAATTTACATGCTCAGAGTTATCGTTATTGCTCGCCCATGTCACTGCCAAGTCATATTGTTCGTATTATTTGTTGAGATTCCGGTTGTTTAAGAATTAGAGTCGAGCCGCGTGTCACCGCTCAGCATTAGGCTGTCGGTTCGCGGAAAGTTGAGAGAGTCGGACATTTCTAAGTACCGCCGTCGACGACCTTGCTATCGTTCCTTCTGTAATAAAGTAAACTTGTCGTCGACGCGCGACCGCGGCATTCTGTACATTACGTCAACTCATGTATCTACGCGAATTGAATAAATAGGAAACTCTTTGTCATTGTTAATATTAATTGCTGTCTGATTATTTCTGTCTGCCTCTACCTCGTTCTCCGACATTGTTCCCCGCTCATCGCGAACCACCCCCTCTGCCAATTTCGTTGGCTGAGCTAGCTGAGCCTGTCCGTCGCGAATTCCGTTGCTCTGTAATTTCTTTGTCCGAGCGTAACATCTTAATTTAGTGCGAAGAGTGGCACGCTCTCTCGTGCCTGGCGCCCAACGGAAATTAGTACGGCTCGAATATCGTAGCACATAAAATTTAAGGAAGAACCGCACTTTTGCTAATTATATTATTGTGTCCACCTTTTTGAGCTATCGCGTAAAAGGAGCAGCGGATGAAGTGACGAAGTTGTGCCGTTCCTCAAAAGTACGGTCACAATACATTAACAAAATGTTTACTTGAAAATATTTTATTTATTAAAATAAATTCTTTGGTACTTTTTGAAATACTGTTTAAGGTATTATAGAAATTTCATAACAAAACATGTTTTATATTATACAAATTGTAACTAATAAAATAAATAACAAAAAAGAACGATTTTATTTATTTATTTTGTGTCTCCATAAGCTCTATATAGAATCTCGATTTAATAACTTACCAAGGCGTATAAGGTAGGCTTCCACTACAATGCCTTACTGATGAGTCCAGTAGTGGAAGCCGGGACGAAACGCCAAACATTACGTGATATTCTTTGCAATATATAATATTAGAATAAATTATCAGATTTAGATTTTAAATTGTAATTTGACTCTTATTCGCCCTATTTAACGTGTTAATTATTATTATATATTAAGAGTCCTTCAAATCTTCAATTCATTTGTCTCCATAAGCTGTAATTTAAGAAGTTCAATATGAAGTTTCTCTTTTTCTAATTGCATTTCAAAAATTAACATTTTTAGTGACGATTTTTTACGAATATCTTCTTTCATTAATTCTACTAACTCCAATTTGGATTATGCCAGATCAAAAAATCGTTTATTTCGTTTGCCAGCGTTTATTTGAAGCTGTTTTGATCTCTTCAAAGTTGGTTGTCGTGATTTGTTTGCTACTGAAGTACAAGTTTCCTTGGGCGGTACATGAGTAGACAAACCAGATGTGTATGAAATCCACAGACACGGTCATCGGGGGGGATAGCCAATCGCGTGGCTGCTCTATGCTTGTGTGCGTGACTTCTTTGATTGTGTGTGTGTGATTTAGAAAGCGAAACACGGTTTTTTCAAGGTCACGCGCCTGTGGTGGGGGCGCCGGTCGGTTGCCACGGGAACGCTGTCGTCGCGCTCGACGCTGACGGCGGAGCGAGGTTAAGACGCGCGCTGACGGGCGGAGCGAGGTTAGGGCGCGCGCTGACGGCGGAGAGAGGTTAGGGCTCATCCTTCGCGAGGTTCCCGCGCTTTTCGCGCCTGCGCGCGCACGCCGCCATCGTCGTTTACTTGAAATTTTGTTCCGCTCTCGGGAGACAGTGTCTCGACGCGCGAGTGCGATGCGCTCGTAATCTCAGGTCGCGCGACCCGATCAAAAGGTCGCGATAACGCTATCGACACGGTGACAAGGTCTAGCGAAGAGTCTATGTTGCGCAGGACAGAGTCGAGCCAATTATTTTTGGTCGCGCGTGCGCGCAGAGATTCTCGCCGCCATCGTCGTTTACTTGAAATTTTGTTCCGCTCTCGGGAGACAGTGTCTCGACGCGCGAGTGCGATGCGCTCGTAATCTCAGGTCGCGCGACCCGATCAAAAGGTCGCGTTGAATGTACGCTATCGACACGGTGACAAGGTCTAGCGAAGAGTCTATGTTGCGCAGGACAGAGTCGAGCCAATTATATATTTATTCTTAAGCAAATAATAATAATAACAATAATAATAATTCGACTTATGTATTTCCGTTCGCACGCGAAGACGCTGTCGCGATAACGCTGTCGCAGCGCGATGTAACGCGATACCGCGCGAATAAGGAAGGAAGCGACGAATTGAGAAAGCTGAATTAATCGTTTTTTAGTTATTTATATACTTATTATTATTTATTTATTTGTATACACTCTTATTTATTTGTTTATTCGAACTCATTTATACTCAATAAAAAAGAAACACATTAAGGCATAAAAGTTAAATTAATAATAATTTGTATATCTACTAATTTTTTTATTTTTTATTTATTTTTATACTTAATTAATTAATTAATTATTTACTTAATTAATTAATTATTTTAATCTTTTAACATGAGCTCGATGTCGCCGTCGAACGCTGACGGTATGTGCGTTATATAATACCGCGAAGAAGGAAGGAAGGAAGGTAAATAATTGAGAATACTGTTATATGTAAAGGTTTAATAT